TTTGAATTGCCTACACTCTAGCATGGCAGTACACTTACCTTCCATGAGGAAAAAAAGGGAAGAATGGATTTAAATAATTAAAAACTATTTTCTAGAGGGAATATATATGCAATTTATTTTTCTGCCTAAAGCTTCTTGCTGCTCAAATTTTACAGGCAATTAAAAGAAGCTAACTGTGCTAACTGTGAAAATAAGTGAAAATAAGAAAGACCAACCCAGAACCTTCTTCAGAGCTTTTTCAAAACAGAGCTGAAGAAGCTTCTTGGATGAGAAGCAAAACGTCTTCAAAGAAAAACCAGAAAGACCAGTTGCCTCTTGAAAAAGCACCTTTGGGACAACCATGACCTGGATGACTGAGAATCTCCATAGACAAGAAAGACTAATATAATTATTTCCCTTTTATGTCAGGTGAATATTAATTAACAGATTTCTGGAGAAGGAAGCATATAGGGACTTTAGATTGCAGTGTCTCATAGGACTATCATTTTTAATAATAAAACAATAGCACAACCTCACAGTAACATATTCAGCCACTGGTTTCAATGGCCACTAATTACTCTTATGCTAAGAAACTGCATATATTCCATCACCTAAAACTGGAATTCCATTCAGTTGCAGGACTCAGGGCTGCCAAATTTCATTCTGGGACAGCTTAATTGCATGATGTTTGGTTTCAATTATTGCTTTGACTTAGGAATCTGGCAATCTTACAACGTTTTTAAACTTGTACCTGTAGATACAAGATACTGTGTTTTTCTAGAGAAGGGCAAGCTGTGCCAAGTTCTAGCACAGCTCACTGAAATTACCAGCAAGAAGGGTATTTTTCTCTCCTTTTGATTTTGCAGGAGCTTGCTTAACATTACAAAGCAAAATGACTCTTACTCTTTGGAACATTATATGTGGGGAAAGAGCAAATTCCTAACAGCCTCTAGTTGTGGTCTTTTATACTGAAAGCAAAACCAATAGTAGCTCAATTAAAGAGCTGTGAGCCATCATTTCTTATATCAGGATATATAGCTTCTAAGAAAAAGAAACAGTTTTGCAAGCATATATACATATGCACATATATATAGGGATGTAGAAGGGACTAATTTTAGATGGTAAATATTGCATTTATCCAAAAGAAAGACTATTTTGAATTTAAAACAGCCATTCATTTGGAAGAAATTATGCCAAGCAAAAAGGCTATAAACACAATAATACCTGAATTAATTATTATCTATTAAAGTTAACTGCCTGTAAAATAAGGCATTCAATTTGTAATATATATGCTTGCATAAACTTCTCTGACAGAACTTTAGTGGACATTCAGAACTCAGAAAACATATATCCAAGCATGCATATTTTGTAATGTCCCAATGCATTCCACAGTTCCTGCTCCCAAGAAAATATGCACTACTGGCTGGCACTGTGCTAAGGGTCTGTTCAGCACTGTTTACATCATATAAATCAGGGTAAAAAGGGGGTAGATTGAGGGGACTGAGCTGTTCTTTTATTCAATTTTAGAACTGCTAATTCTGTTTAGTTAATATGTCATCTCATTTTCCGCTCATTCCTCTGTGCGAGAATGAATATTTGCAGTGAAAAGTCTCAATTCTCCCCAATAGAAATTCCATTGTGATAAGTCATTCTTTATATAGGGAGGACAATAAAAAATGGGAAAGGCTGATATGTTGGTTCTGTCTCGCTTGAAGTCACAAATGTTTCTCTTGTAGCCCATGTATACATTCCATGTATTCGCTTTAATTCTTCTCTTACCATATCCTCCCCTCCCTCCCCTACAAGTAAGAAGTTTTCTTTTCAAGTCTATGTGCTACACCAAATTTTTGTAAACACTGACAGTCCGTTTCAGAATGAAAATGGAAGACTAATAGCTATGTTATGCATTCTATTTCTTGCAGAAAAACAAAATGTGTTCTGAAATTTTAAAAGCAAACTGATGCAATTTGGTGGAACACAAATCCACGTCATCCTGGACATATTAAGCATTTTCCTAAATACTGTAGTGTATAAACATACCCAAGAATAATAGAGAGGGAGCAAGCGGTAATTGAAAAGCAAAACTTTTGAAAATATGTTTTTAAACAATGGATGGATAATTTGTAAAAATATGTATTTGAAAAGAATTGCTTACAGAAATTTCAGTTTGAGGATGTATCATGTTGCTAGGTAACTAAAACATTGATAATCTCAGTGGACAACTGAAAATTTGATCATCTAAATCAGGGGTCACCAACCTTTTGGACCTCAGGGACCACTAAATTCATAATTTTAAATTCCGCGGACCACTAATATGATCTGCCTAATGACCACTGGGAGGGCATGACTAGGTGGGCATGTGACTGGGTGGGCATGGCTAACTTGATGTCACTCGTGTTTTTTTTAACAAAGTTTATTTTCATTTTTAAAAATACAATATTTTACATATATACATGCAAGGTTATTGCAACTAACGTACACAAATCTGCGCCTATACCACTAATACAATCCATTTCATTTCCCTCTCTTTTCTTTCACCCAATTATACCATAAATTCCAACATTTGTAATAATCAGAATCTTTTTGGTTCCTAAGTAATTTCGTTAACTGGTCTGCCTCTGCGCATTCTGTAATTTTCCAAATCAATTTATTTTCTGTGGGTATTAATTTGTTTTTCCTTTCTTGCGCGTATAGTATCCTAGCTGCAGTAGTGATGTGGAGTATCAAGTACCATTTTTCCTTAGTTATTTTGTCTGTCAGATGGCCTGCACAAAGGTCACCCATGTAAGGGATGATTTTAATATCTAATATGATGTTGGATGTTGGTCTATAAGTCACATCAGAACCACTGTGGTGTAGAAGTTAAGGTGTTGGGTTAGAAACAGTGAGGCCCACATTCTAATGTACCCTCCCACATAGGAATTCACTCGTTACATTCTCTCAGCCCTCTCTGGTTGACAAGAGTTGCTGTGAGGAAAATAGGAGGGAGTGCTATGTACCCCACCCTCAGCTCCTGAATGAAAGGGAAAAATATCAATCTGATAAATCAATGACATTTGCAGGATTCTGTCATTTCCCACCCACTTGCAGACACTCCTGGCAATTTGTCCTATTATAAATTCTTCTGTTTCTATGCAGAAAATGCAAAACCTCCAAAGCTCCACCCAATTCATACGCAAGCAAATCCAGATGACACTGTTATTACTCACTATCATGTTTAGTTCATCCAATTAAAACTAAACATTATGATTTATCTTGACACGCAAAGCATACTACATATTAATTTCTGTGTCCTGGAGCATTAATTAGGAGGAACATGTGTACAGTACAGTTACTAAGCAGCAGAGAAAGGTCTTTAGCCCTTCCCATTCCAGCACGGTCAAATATTTGTTATTGTTGGCAGAACAATATTTTAAATATTTTTTGTATTGTAATTTGAATTATAAAGCTGTTGCAGCAGAGAATAGTGTGAACCCTATATGCATTACAAAAATTTAACAAATGCATTATTATGCATTTATAAACTAAAATAAATTTCATTAGATACATGCAGTGACTCCAACAAGTGGCAAGTTTGGTATTACAAGGGCAGATGACTCTGCAGAAAACAGGTATCTAGTTTCTTTCCAGCCCAAATCAAAATGCCCATAATGGGTTGTCCTCAGTGCTTGGAGGCAGTATATCCATAGAAAGCTTCAGTAGGCCACCAAAGCTGAGCAGATGTCAACTAATCCTGGCAACAACTACATTGCAAGACAAAGCATGATAGATTGCCAAAGTCATATCAAAAGAAAAAGGAAAGAACTATTTGAAACTGAAATACCTAATTTTTTAACTTTAAGCTGCTTCATCTTAATGAAAACTATTATATAAAAATATTTAACAGAGCAGAACTGTGGTAGTTTGAAAGATGTGAAAATCAGTTTGTTTAAGTTGATAAAATGTAACTGAAAATAGTCAAAACAGACTGAATAATTTGATTAACTACCGGTAGGTACCTTCAAATTCCTGTTGGCTACAAACCACATAGACTTCCTTTCAGAACGATCTATGCTAGGCCTGGCCCTTTAGATCGGTTATATTTATTACTACTATAATTCAATGCATCCTTACTTCTAATTCTCTTTGTTTTCCTTCCACCTTTTCCACCATTATAATTCGATGAATTGGAACTGGATCTTTGAATAGTGTGCCCAAAATATAGCTTGAGAATGGTTGTTTGTATCTTGAATAATACCTCTACTTGATTTGTTCTGTGATGCATGTGTTCAACAACATTCAAAAGCATTAATGCTCTTGGGTGTTTAAACTGTACAGGCGAGGGCTTGGGAGACAAAAACTCTAGTTCTTGATGTATCCCACTAGCCAATAAAAACTCAGTTTCAAAAATTAGCTAGAAATAAGAAAACGGTAGCTTTTTAAACAAACAAGCAAACAGCTGCCTGCCATACTTTTACGTAATTGTGGTTTAAAGAATGGAGGAATCAAGATGAGAACATAGAAAAATCATACGTAAAAAACAGAATCTGCACCCCTTAATAGCTACCAAGAGAAATTACAATTAAAAGCCTCGCCTAGAAATTTTAATAATTGCTAAGCGGGAATAAATAGAACAGCACACCAAACTTCAGTCTAGGGCCCTTGGGAATAAGCTCCTTTGAACGTAAGGGGACTTCAGTCAGTTCGAGCGAGCCTAGAATCCTAAAGAATTGCATTAAACCAGCGTTTTTCAAACTTGGCAGCTTTAAGGTGTTTTGAACTTCAACTTCCAAAATGCTGGCTGGAGAATTGTGGGAGTTGAAGTCCACACAGTTTAAAAGTGGCCGAGTTTGAAAAACGCTGCGTTAAAGCCAACGCGGTGCAGGAGACGTCGGCACCCCACCCCCCCCCCCCCCGCCCGGGTTCCGTCAGAACTCCCCGGTTCCTCCTTGATTGGCTCTTCCCGCCCATCTTTGCCCGCCGCGCAGCTGAGACCGTGACGCAACGGGCTGCGCAGAGAGGTTAAATTTTGCCGGGTGCGTTTAATATGCTTCCGCTTGAGCGGGTAATCCGAAACATGGCATGGCTGTGTGTGTTTATGAGTGCCCAGTTTTTGGATTGTGTTTTCTTTCTGAGGTAATTTAATGCGAGGCGAAGTTATTCCGCTGTTAAAGAAGATGTGGCGGAGCCAGCAGCTTTTTCAATTCCTCTGAAGATAAATTTCTTTTCCTCCCGGACGAAAGGTACTTGGAATGAAGGATGAGAGACCTTTAAAGCTAATGGGAGAAAAAGCCTCTCTCTCTCTTCTGTTCTGGGAAGGCAGGTCACATCCTCTCCCACCTCCTCAGGGGCTTACTAGTTCTCGGCTCCCATGGAACTATTATAGGACACATAACAAGGCCAGATATTGTCGAATACATGCTCAAGTAACCCTTCCGACTAGTTTATGTCCTGCAGAATAGACAATTCTGCTTCAAAAAGAAGCTTAGTTAAAGCTTGTGGAAGAAGCTTTATCGCCAAGAGTATGAAGTCTTTCACATACAAGTTGCAAATAAATGTGTGTGTGAATAACACACACACACACACACACACACACACACACACACACACACACACGGAAATTTGTCTAGGAGTGTGGTTTTAGCTATTCTACTAGCAGATGTGCAAGTTGCTAGTTTATGATTTAGATTCTTCATGAGATCAATTAACCGGGGTTCCTACTTCAGTACTGTAATTGAAGACTTCAGAATTCAAGCAATATTGTATATGATGATTTTACACCGATAAATGGAAATGGCTATCTTAACCTTGAAGTATTCTATTTTTCAAGCAGGTTAATCAATTCTCAAAATGGGGACACCTATATTGAACAAACCTAGATCATTATCCTGCACTACAGAGAATTGTGATAATTCTGTTCAAAGCAGCAGCTTAGGGAAACAGGTAATAAATATATCAAGATATTTATTTTAATATGTTTATATATTTAGATTATTAAACAGTTCTTACTTACATTTATGTTAGTTAATGAGTGCAACCCTACGAGAACGATTGAAGAAAACAAGAAGATCCTTTCACTCAAATTTTATTGTTGCCAAACAACTTAAAATAGATGATGAAAACAACAGTAATCAGAAGGAGAAAACTTTATCTAAAGAAGAACCATGTTCTCTATTGCATGCTGAGGATAAGTGGTTGGAAAAAGTTCCTGATGAAGCTATGTGTTCGAAGAGTTCTGCAGAAGACAGCTCACTATCTGAATACAATGGATATAATAAAGCTACGCACAATTCTTCAGAAATTAATTTGTTGGGTACAGACTGTAAACAATGGGAGCTGTTGGAGGAAAAGATGACACTAATGAAGCAGCTTCAGGAAAAAGAGGACATTCTTCGAAGACTTAAATTGGTCAAACTATATAGAACAAAGGTAAGTAAAGTAAATATTAAAACTTCAGAAACAGTTTTAAATAAATTTAAATATATTAAAAACAAATCCAAAACAAAATGCAAATAAGGTTGTTTTTTTAATACTTTTGTTATGCTATTGCATTCCCAAATACTAACCAATCTTAGCATGTCATCAAGCCAATTTTTGTTCCAGTTCATTCTTGCATAATATATTTGCTTTATCTATTCTAGAGATAAATAAGTCTTTAACTGTAATGGAAATTGCCCAGTTCCTTAATAAGATAATATTTCTTGCCAATATGTAAAGTGCTGTCTATTTTTAATTTAAAGCTGAAAAGACTTATTTTTATGTAATATTAATTGTATATAAACTATACTTGTACTCAATGTCATTCACCCATTCTTGTCTTTTTGCACACATTAAAATTATGATCTTTCCTTGCAGAAGTCATATCCATTGTTTAAACTGTGCTTTTATGTACTTTGTTCTAGAAAGTAAGAAACATTTTTTCAAATAAATGTATGTTCTAATTCTACATCTAATATAAGTTATATTGTATGCAACAAATTTTCATTTTAATGTTTGCCAATTAGTGTACATTCAAAGTGACAATATAGTTAAGTCTAAGTCCAATAAGATTTTTAAAATAGTTTTGTATATGATACTTCGTTTTTTCAAGTGGAAAGTAAATTACAAACATGGGGCGGGGGAAATTTCTGTTCTCTATTGCAGGGGTCTCCAACCCCTGGGCCGTGGCCCATTACCAGGCCATAGCCTATTCGGAATAGGGCCGTGTGAGTGGCTGGCTGGAGCGCGCAAACATGCACACACAGCTCAACTTGCATGAGTGGTGGGTTGGCGGGTACTCACATATGTGTGTGCCAGTCTGCCACTCCCGCTAGTCGAGCTGTGTGTATGCGCACTAGCCCAATACTCCCGCAAGGCCCACACAGCCCAGTTCCTCTCTCTCCCCCTCCAGCCAGGCCAAACCGCAAAGGTTGGGAGCCACTGCTCTATTGGAACCTTTATCTAGGTTACCCATTTCAGCTATATCAACACATTATAAGTATTACTTTTTTCTATTTCCCTACAGAATAACCCAGAAGAGTTACAGTTTCTGATATCAAAATGGAGAAAGAGTTCCCAAGCAATTCTATATGAGCTGCAATCAGCCTTATCTACTGATAACAAGAAATTAAGTCTGACTCAATTGATTGACAATTTTGGATTAAATGACAAACTCTTACATTATATCCGAACAGATGAAGATTTTACAGATCCATAAAAATTAGTGTTTTATTTCACTCTTAAAAATATATCAAAAGATGACTATTTTCAAGAATTGAATTTAAGTTCACATTGTATGAATAGTTTATTATAAGAACCTGCTACCTCTTTGTTTCTTTTTTAGTCCACACTCTATATTTAAATCCTGGACATCTATCCCTCCTTATTTAATACATTAAACTCCAACACTCTGCTGTTATGTCCCTTCTCATTTGTCCTTAACTCAGTATTTCTTCAAATTGCAATTTTTCAGCCAATTTCTTTTGCCAAGTTGCTTTAGGATACTTCTCCATATGCAAGGAAATATTTCTGTTCCTTTATGAGTTTTTTTAAGTCCACTGCATATCTTTTAGTTTTGTAAAAGTGGAATGTCTAAATATACCAGTTTTAGTATGACAATAATACTCTCTTACAATACAAATTGGTATTTATTTAAATGCATTATGAATATAAATATGTTGAAGTGATCAAAATGAATTATGACACAATATTTATAAAACTATCTTAATGTAATAAAGAATAAAGTTGAAAGAGAAATTCAGGAAGGGGGAAAATCCTACCTTGCCTAAGAGTGTTTATTGCTAAAATTGTTGCACATCAAAGAAAGCTGGGAATGTTCTCATTCTCAATCTTTCCACTTCAGCTTGAAGGACGGCTAACTCCTGGGCTTGTGCTTTGGCAAGATCTACCAGGTGCTGTCGTTGTACAATGTCCTCATAATGCTCCTTAGCAATATTTTGGTTCAGTAGTTCCGAGTCTGGTTTTTAAACAAAAATATTCAGAATAAAATCAATAAACTGATTACCAGTGTTCCTCAGCTTCTTTCAAATTTACTAATAGGACTATGGTAAGTATCATCTTGCTGTTATGAGCTGTACATCATTATATGATTACTACATTTGCACCCCAAACAGTTTTTATTTTAGATTCATTTGCTGCCCATCAGTATTACTGAAAGGCTCACTGAATGAAGTGGTCCAGTTGCTAGTGGTAGAAGATCGATAACCATCTCCTCAAAACTATTGAAAGAAACTAAAATAACAAAACGGAATTAATAAAAATGTCAGAATATGTTGCAATGCTTAACAATGTTATGGCAGTTGGTAATTGACCTAGGAAAATGTACACATTTTGATATCCAGATTATTTTTTGGAGAAAAATGATTTTTCATAATGTGAACTCACTAGCTATGTGATACATCATGATTTTTGGGGGGTGATATCTGATCCTTGCATGTCACTTACCAGTAGCCTCATAAATGTGCCGCCTTTCTGATACAATAACAAGCATTTCTTGTAATTTCTTGCTGAACTTCTGGTTTGATACCTCTTTTAAGTGTATTTGTTTCTCCAATTCTTTAATTATTTTTTCTTTTTGTTCTATATTTTTCTTGTGAACCTGGTAATTAAAAACAAAATTATTAAAAAGGGATCTTTAGAATTTAGAATGAGTGAAAAGATGCTAAACATTTTATTTCTTTTGTGAAGGAGGATAATGTTAGCTTTTAATACAGTTTAATTCAATGTTTAAAAATGTAGCCAGTAATTAAAACTATTAATAGAAAGTGAGGGTTCCCTCAGTGAGAAGTTGAAGTAAAACAGGAGCACTCAACTATATAAAAGATTTGGATCCAAAGCAGGCAAAAGTGCTTTTGATCTGGTAGGGGTCCTTTCTGTTTCTACTGGCTTCTCTTTAAAGAAACAGTAGCTTTTTCTGAGTTTCTATGATAGCTGTACAGGCTCAAAAAAATAGGAATTGTTTTTGTTTTCCTGCATCTATGCAGGCCCAGGAAAAGGTACATATTTAAGGTATAGGTCAAACTTGATTTCATTGAGGGCCATTGTTTGACCTCGGGGGGGGGGGGGCTGGAGTAGGCGTGGCCAGCTTGATGTCTCTTGTGTCGAGGGAGCCTGTGGCCCAAATGTTCTAAGCCAGTGAAAATGGGCTCTCAAGCTGTTTTCGGCCACAATGGCCACCCTCAGCCAGTGAAAACATTTTTGCTGGCAGAGGCACTGTGAGCCGGACCATTACTGTTTCCAGGGTGGCCCCCAGCGCCAGATCTAAGCAACCAAATTTGGCCCGTGGGCCTTGAGTTTGAACCCTGGTGTAGATGAAAATGCCTGTGACATGTTTGAAACACTCTTGTCTGCTTTGTGTCTGAACACTGCATATTTTGGTGCTTTATAATTCTGGTATGAATATTAACAAAAAAAAAGAGAAGAGCTGAATCATGATTTTTGTTAGGAGATTAATATTTAGCTATTTAAAGTACTATTATACTACAGTTTAGGCCAAGTCATTGAGGTCATATATGACTCGCATAAGATAGTTAAGCTTCATCAATATATAAATATTTTTTCAAATTATTTATATATTATCTACTTTAAATAGTTCAGGTTGTTAGTGATCTTTCTACCATTCAGTTCTAAGTCATTCTGATATGCTGTCAACCTAAGTTGCTTGCAAACAACTTTTTCTTAATTCTGTTCTATCCCCTTTCCAAAATGGTCTTATTTTTAATCTATATAAAATTTGATTCACTGGAAATACTTCAGAACTGAAGCAATATTTTTTCAGTTATGTTTTAGACTTCATATACGTTCACTAATGCAAGATGAACATTAAATTGAGGAGACCACTAAGTTAAGATCTATAATACACTTATATGTTTGAGGAAAAGTGATACTAAGGTAGTAATAAAAAGCAAATAAAACAAAGATGTTTCAATGTTGTCTCTTGATACATTATAAATAAAGACGACTAATAGCTAGAAGGAGATTAACTTATGCAATAGTGTATTCAGATAGAGAAAGAAAAATCATAGTTCATTTATATGACAACTCTGAAGTAAGTAGAGACAGAATTGAAGAGCATATATTGAAATAAATCTTACTGACTGAAACTCCAAAAATAATCTCATCTACCGGTAATAGCTGGGTGATGGACATTTGTGTGCAAACAAGTTTGCAAATAAAATTGTTCTAGTAAGTTACTGTATTTTTGGGGATATAAGACACACTTCCCCCCCCCGCCAAAGTGTATGGAAATGTCTGTGCGTCTTATACAGCAAATGTCGAAGCCCTGCCCACCCGCCAGCCATTTTTGACCCCTGCCTGCCCCGTTTACCACCCATTCCAGGCTGTGGGGATCGCCACAGCCCATTGCTGCCAATTGCTGCCTCCATGCGTTGCGTTTTTGGCCTCTGCATGTTCTGTTTTTGGCCTCCACATGCCCTGTTTTCAGCCTCTGCATGTTGCATTTTTGGCCAGTTCCAGGCGGCAGGGATTGGCAGCGATCCCTGCTTCCTGGAACAGGCCAAAACATGACATGCAGAGGCCGAAAACACGATGCGCGGAGGCCGAAAATGTGACGCACAGAGCCAGCGATCAGCGATGATGGGCTGTGGTGATTCCCGCAGCCTGGAACAGCTGATTGGCGGAATTCTGGGAGGCTGATCCAACCACCAATTAGCTGCTTGTGCTGAATCAGGCTGCAATAACATGCTGAAGCTGACTAGGCTGTTTGCTGCAAGGACACTAGCCAGATGAATACCGATGGATGCTGATAGGTAGAGACAGAATTTTTTTTTCTTGTTTTCCTCCCCAAAAACTAATGTGCATCTTATACTCCGGAGCACTTTATACTCCAAAAAATAATGTTAATCCTTTTCATGTAGCAAGCTTTGTATACCATGAGAAAAAAAAGGGTTGGGAAGTGACTCTAGAAAAAAATTTTTCAGGTAACAAATTAGGACTGAAGGTTACAGATGTGGTAAAAAGCAAAAGTAGAAGTGATTGGAAGTATTTCATAGCATTAGCAAGAATACAAAACTGTCTTTCTTAGCAAGTATAAGTATGGGGACATCTGTAAGTCTAAATTAAGGTAAATATGTTGAGTAGGTAGCATATTCCATGTTTCTTTATTAAAATTTATTCCATAAGAAAACTTACCTTGTCTAGAAAGTTAAATGTTCCTTCCATTACTGATACTTCATGATTCATCCGCTTATCATAGTTTAAGACTGATAAGAACTATGAAATTAAAAACAAAAGATCAAGCTAATATAGCTGATGCTTCCTGATGTTAAATCCTGGATTTGCAATATTAACATAGCAAAGGTAAACTTTCAAAGGAAGATTGTTACTGCTTTCCAGTAACAAATCTTAAGTAAATTCACATTTATCTCCAAAAGCTTTAATTGAACTAGCAGACTATAGTATCCAGTCTCAGATATAATGCATATACAGTTGTTCTTAAGATTGTGAACCCTTTTGAATGTTAAATATTTGTTTGATCTGTTCTCTACATAAGTCATAAAATAGATAAAACTTAATTTACCAAATGAGTAAAAAACAACTGTTTTCACTTTATTGAATAAAGTGATCCAAAGCTACATATTGGTTTGTGCAAAAATTATTTGAACCTTTGCTTTCGCTAAGTAGTGTATTTTCTTGGGCAGAAGCAACTTCAAGTGTTTCTGATAACCTGATTAGGCTGACACATCAACTTGGGGGAATTTTAGCCCATTCCTCCTTACAGAACACTTCACTCAGAAATTTGGTGAGCTTCCTCACGTGAACTGACTGCTTCATATCCTTTCACATTTCTATAGAATTAAGGTCAATACTTTAACTTGGCCATTCCAGAACATTAACTTTCTTTTGCTTTAACTTTATTCTTTGGTTGTACAACTTGTGTGTTTGGGGTTGTTGTCTTGTGGTTATGATCCACTTTCTCAGTTCAAAGACAGATACCCTGATATTTCCCTGTAGAATTTGTTGATTGGTTCAGAATTCCATTAATGATGTCAAGCCATTCTGGTTCAGCGATAGCAAACCATGATACTGCCACCACCACATTTCACAGATGGGATAATGCCCTCCCACTGGAAGGCAGTGTTTGACTTTTGTGAAATATAAAACTTTTCATCTAAGCCAAAAAGTTCTATTTTGGTCTCATCTGTCCACTGAACATTCTTCCAATCATCTTCTGGCTTAACCACGTTTATGTACAAACTATAGGCAGTTTGGAAGAGTAGTGGCTTTCTCCTTGTAACTCTGCCTTCCACATCATTGTTCAGTGTTCTAACGGTGGTCTCATGAACATTGATATTTGCCAATGGGACAGAGGCCTTTAGTTCCTTAGATGTTTTCCTTAGCTACTTGAAACATCCTAGAGCCGTGACAGCGAACCTATGGCATGCGTGCCAGAGATGGCACGGAGAGCCCTCTGCTGACACGTGCACCGTCGCCCCAGGTCAGATCACCATAGAGTTTCTTTCATGAGCTTCTGCTTCCTGAAAACGACAAAACAGAAGCCCACGAAAGAAAAAGATCTTACCTCTTGCCACGCTGCCAGTGTTGGGATGTCCCACTTCTCTGCTGAGCATACGTGTATGTCCATGTGCATGTCTGTGCATGTTCCACACATGTGCACGTTTGCACATGTCTGTGCATGTCTATGCATGTGCACATCTGCACATGTGTACATGTGCACATCTGCACATGTGTACATGTGCACATCTGCACATGTGTACATGTGCACATCTGCACGTGTGC